AAAAAATTATTTGGCTAGATTATTATTGGTATATCTGGCAACCCTGATCAGATATCCTCCTGGAACAAACGACCAAAGTCATGAAGTAAAAATATTAATTTTAAAACGGTTTATAAAATATTAGCTAAACCCATTTAGTATATATTTGTATATAAACATCTAAAATTGGTTTAAGCTAAACTGTTTTAAATAATTTTAAAACTGTTAAATTTTAAACTGTTTTAACGCTATCATATAAACTTAGTAAATGATAATGTATGGAAGCTCCCAATAACCAATCGAGGGAGCCAGAAATCTAGTAGTATGGGAGCTAGACATCAGAGTGCACTATTTTTGTGGTTCAGTGGTCATATTATACGGCTTTGAACCCAGGAGTTTCGATTTAGAATCCTGCAAAGTACAACAAATCTTTTTTTCTTTTATTTATCTTTACAATACGACTATTGACTAAGTATATCTTAAGAATTTATTCATATTGAAATAAATTAAACATGGCTGAGCATTTTTTAATTAATATATGATCATTTTAGCTGTTACTTATAACTAGAGACCGGATTTTCGTGCGATTGCAACTTTTTTTCCTTTGCTTTAAATCATATAAAAACAAATTATAAATCCGAATCACGAGAAGCAGATTAATTTAAACGTAGTTTTATTTTGCACAAAATTGCATATTCTGCATTTTTAAAATTAAACTAGACAATATATATAGGTAGCCAGGTAGGTATATACAATTATATTACCTACATACAGGTATGTACGTAAATATTTGTTTATTTCAGTTTTCAACTATACAAAAGGAAAAAGTGAACACAAGCTGCTAATATTCTTAGAATAACATACATTTATTAGTTTTTCATGGTAAAAATAAATGATAGCAACTACTAATTAGATAATGAATGAAATCTCTGGCCATTAGCACTTTAGTGCTAAACACTAACTTTGTGATTGAGTGTTTCTTAAATTGGTTAGTGTCGTGATAGTTTCATTACGAATAATTTATGTAAAAAAATATAAACAAATTTATAAAATGCCAAAATTGGGTCAAGTCTGTCGTTAAAAATTAAAACCGGGATATCAAATTACCCAGAGTTTAAATCTGATGGGAAATCGATTTTCTGCGCTTCTTGTGAAAAATCAATCGGATGTGAACGGAAATCTCAAATTGATGCTCATTGTAACACTGGTAAGAAACAATATTTTTATTTAAGAATCAGGCATCAATTTTTTATTATTATTTTTTCATTAGCTATTCACGAAAATCAATTAAAACTAAAAAAAAAACCGATACAACAACAAATTACAGATTCTTTTGAAACATCAAGCAGCCAAAACCAATTTTATATTGATTTGTGCCAGGCTTTAGTAGGAGCAAATATATTATTTTTCAAACTGCAGTCCCTACCGTTAACATCCTTTTTACAAAAATATACAAATAAAAGTATACCTGACGAGAGCACACTCAGGAGAAAGTATCTGCAAATTTGTTTGGATTCGACTATGGTTAAAATTGACGCGGACCCGCGCGGCAGCCGTTATCGAAACGTCTGCCGCCGACCGCGCTTGCGTCTCTCTCGTCAACCACCAGACCGCGGCACGCAACGCCGCCGCGACACCCGTCCTCCCCATCCATCGATGGACAGGGGACGTGAACGGTCGCGACGACGCCCGCACGGAATATGACCCAACCGGTCCGGTCGGGTTGTTCTTCGAACTCCGTACACCCGAACGGACCATACGCGTGATCTTGTACGTTACATTCATTTTTCTTTTGTTTTTCTCATTTTGTAAAACCACATGTAACCATTGGTGTTATTTTTCTTTTACTATTTAGTTTTGTTCTCGCGTTTATTACTTTATCCAAATTGTTTTTTTTTTTTTTTTTGACATCGTGTCCAAACCGACACGTCCAGTGTCGTCGTGTATCCTCGCGCCGTCAGCAGTTCGCAAGTTCTTCTTCGTGTTTGTGCGAGCAATAAACGGCCGTCGGCCAGTACCATTGGCATCGCTGTTTTGTTTGTTTTTATTTATTTATTTATTTTTTTCCTTCCCTTCATTTTTTTTTTTTTTTTGCATTCCTGTGACCTTACCTCAGCACCTCAACTACAACGTCGGGCCGTACCGAGACGACCCCCGACAAAATTCGTCAAAAAATTGGAGAACATTATGTATACGTCATGGTCAATGAGACCACTGATGCTAGAGGACTTTATATATGTAACCTATTGGTTGGTATTCTTCACCAAGAAATTGATCCCACACCATTTTTAATTGCCTGTAAGGTTCTCCCTAAAACAAATTATGACACTGTCTCTCGATTGAATCTCGACAATCTGATGAATTTTTTTTACAAAATTCAGATTATCAGTATAAAGTGCTTCTTGTAACAGACGCGGCACCTTATATGATAAAAACTGGACAAGCTTTGAAAACATTCTACATAAACATGATCCATATAACCTGTGTAGCCCACGGGTTAAATAGAGTATAAGAAAAAGTCCGCGAAATTTTTCCAGAAGTAAACAAGCTGATAAATAATAGGAAAAAAATATTGCTTAAATCACCGCACCGAGTAGAATATAAAATATATTATGGAATGTGAACTTCCACCGGAGCCTGTGATCACAAGGTGAGAAACATGGTTGGAAGCAGCTTTATTTTATGCGGAAAATTTTAATAAATTTAAAATGTTTATTAATGCATCTGATGAAGACGTACAGACTATCAAAAAATTGAAGAGAATCATAACTTCGGCGTCAATAATTTCTGATTTGACTTTCATAAAATCACATTTATCAACTTTTCCCTAGGCGTTAACCCAGTTAGAAACCCGAAATGTATCCCTCAATAAATAAATTGAAACTAGAAGAGAAAGTCTTAAAAAAATAAATAACGAGAAAGGACAAATTATGACTCACAAATTTAACTCCGTTGTGGAAAAAAACACAGGTTACGCTCTCATAAAAAAATACAACGACTGCATAAATGGTATGAAAAATATAAATGTTGAACAACAGCCTGCAATCGTCGCTTGCTACAAAATGAGTCCTATCACTTCTATTGAAGTAGAACAAACATTTTCCATATTAAAAGACATATTGAGTGATAGAAGGCACAATTTTTCTGCACACAATTTTGAAATGTATAACATTGTAAATTTTAATTCAATAAAAAAATAAATTTTTTTATGTATGTATAATAGTTAAAATTAAATAGCTTAACTCTGTTGGTATGGTATTTTTATATATGTATATATTTATATCAATCTTTTAATTATAAATTACTCATTAATTTTTTGCTAATCCTGTAATAGTGTAAAAAACTGGATAAATAATGTATAATTCAAGCGTTTAAATCAATGTACTTTAGATGTTTACAAAATTTTGGAAAATATTAAGCGATTTTAGGAAAAAAAATATATTTTTGCACGATTTAGGCACTTAACTGCATGTTTTTGCAATTTTTAAGTTATTAACTGCACATTTTTTTGATTTTTACTGCATGAAAATACGGTCTCTACTTATAACAAAATTACTAGACAATTTTCGAAAAAGTTTATATGTTGTATTAACAACACAATTCAAAATTGCAAATTAGTAAATTTAACGCGATGAATGAATTAAGCATGATAATATAAGTGTTCGATCATTTTGTGTATTTTGAATTGCCCCCGGTCTTGGACCTGGGTAAGAAAGTGATCGCGCTCCGTCACCAACGAAGTTGGCGACACTGCATCGCTGTCACCCTGGTCCGGTCAACGACGCGTGCACCGCCGCTAACGGTCGTTTGATCGCGGTCTGCTTTTTCTCTTGAAGCATCACACGCACGACGTTCGACGTGCTATTGTTTTGTTCCCGTGTACATGCTTTGTATCACCATAATCGCTCGTGTGTGATCACCATCTTTACTTTTTCCTATTGCTCGATTGGCTCTTCCAGTTGCCAGAGCTGGCCGTTATTTTCGACACCATTGTGGTCGAGCATATACGTAACAATATTCACGCAGCTCAATAATCGCCAGCTCCGGCCATCACCCAGTTTGCGGTTGTACGAGCAACCACGTGGTTCAAGTTCCGGACTTACACCAGCAGCTCCGCACGGCAGGGTCATTGCTCATCAATCGCCAGTTTCGGCCCTCAGAGCGTTGTTCACCGTCTCCCTCATAATATATTGGCTCGTATATGCGCTCTCATAACAATAATTTGTATGGTATACTTGTTGCTTAGTTAATATAATTTTGTACATATCAACCATGTAATATCTTTAGTATTATTATTATTATTCTTCTCATGACGGTCTGGAGGACCCAGCGTCCGACGTACGCCTGAGTAAGGCCCGTTGGCGCGAACAATAAGTGTACAATTTATAAATATAGTGTATAAAATATGAACAAGGTGTTATTCATGATATATCTTAAAATAGATTTTTAATATTGCCATTGGTTAATTCATATTTAGTCTATTAAAACGATGATATTACTATTTATGAATATTATGTGCTGTATATGTGTTATAAATAGGTATTAACTCGTTATCACAGTATATAAATAGTTTTCAAATACATTATTTATTTTTGATAAAACAAACATTTAAAACGTTTTATTTTGTAATACTGATCAATAAGTGTCTGTACTTCTGTAGTGATACGTCATTGCGGTTAATGAATATTACTATCTTGTTTCTGCGCAGTAGAAAATACTTTCACATTTTTTATTTAATTAATTTAAACGTCTTGGTGGTTTACGTCTATAATAATTATATAAATGTCTCGAAAAAGTGAACACAAGTGTTTATATTTCAACTGTGGTAAAAGTGGACGAACCGTAAATGATCTTAAGCTCTAACGATTTCCAAAAAACGTAGGGTCTATTGACCTTTCATTCGACTTTTCAAAATGATTCTCATCAAATTCAGTAGGTTTGTCTAAAAAATTTTTTATATTTCAGCGAGACGAAAGACAATTATCACTTTTGTTCACATATTAACTATTGATTATCTTTCTTACCTGATTTGAATGCACACATAAAAAATGTGATGGATCTTAGAACCCTACGTGGCGTTAACGATAAGTGTAGGGTCATTAGATCCTTTATTCAATTTTTAGTGTTATGTAAAAGTACAATATTTAACTTATGATATAAAATACACATTCATACATCAGATATAATGAATAATAATACCTTTTATTTTGAAATTTAAAAAAAAAAATTATATAAGATAATATATGCAATATAATATATATTGTAATTTATATATTAATAAATGATTATAACTGTAAATAATGTCTACAATATATTTTTGTGTTTTTTTATAAAGCAATCTCTATACATTTGTTGTTTACATCCTTCACAATGAGTAAATACTTTTCTTGTTTTATTTTGAGCTTCTAATCTACCAAGATTTTCCGACTTCTGCGCATAACACGGCTTACACATTCTTTTTTTTTGTGTTGTAACTAATAAGTGTTTTAAGCCTGGTGAAATAGGCCGAGGAACATTTGGTTTGTATAGTAGCTGCTTGATAATTTCTTCTTTGAAAGTAGTTATTGTTATAGATTTATTTTTGGTTACAGATTTAAATAATGATAATGCATTGACCGTTGCTGTGGATAGAAGAATATCAAAGGCCACTTTTTTATACCACTTAATAGTCTTCTTCAAAGGTGAACTGTAAGATGACATTTGATCAGAACGGTCTATGTACGATTTTCCTATATTATAATCTTCGACAACGAGTGGCTTTTTTATTATCGTATCCCTTTTTTGTATTTCTATTATTTGGTCAGAGTGTTTGGTTGTGATTAATAAAATGTCACGTTTATCCCGCCATTTAAGAATAACTACGTTGTTGTTGCTCTGTGAAGCAATTACCTCTCCTTTTTTTAATTTTTTTTTCACTACATTTTCCGGGTTATTCTTACGATTGGCCTAAGAGTTCCCACCAAATGTGTATTTTCTTGGTTAAGTTTTTCAGCTAACTTAACACTCGAATACCAATTGTCAGTATACAAGGTTCGTCCAAAGTTAAGATATGGCTCCATCAACTTCAATACAATTTTGTAAGATACGTCAGTTTCTCTTATTACTTCTTTCCCGGCATAAATGTTATAACGCAAAGCATAAAAATCTTTCGAACATAATTTGAATATCTTAATACCATAACGATGTTTTTTGTTCTTAAGGTATTGTCTAAAGACTAATCGTCCTATAAAAGGAACCACACTTTCGTCTATACATACTTTGTCTTCAGGAATATACCATTTATTGAAATTGGCTACTAACATATCAACTAGGTGTTGTACTTTGTTTAGCCTACCATACTCAATCATTTCATTATTTCCACAATGACACATTCCTAGAATCAACTCAAATCTGTTACGACTCATTACTTCTGGCACTCTAGTTTTATAAAGGAAATCTGTTCTCCAATAATCTCTTAAATTTGGCATATTCACTAATCCCATCCATACGATAAGTCCTAAAAAGTTTCTCATCTCAGTACGGTCAATAGGAGTCCATTTTTTCAAACGAGAACATTTTGATAATCTGCGTGAATTTATTATTTGGTGTGCATAACGATTGGTCTCAGAAATTAGAAAATCTAGTACATTTTCATCAAAAAATAATGCATAAAAATCTATTGGAGCGCAATCTTCCATACAATCAATGATATCAGGATTAATACCAACGTCTAAATTAAGTGGATTGTAAGTTATTGTATTTAGATTACCAGTTACTGGTCCCCATGTAATTTCATTGCTTGGCATATTAACATTATCTTCGAATTCATAGGCTATGAGTTGAATATTTTCGTCGACATCATTTTCAATACCATCATTGTCACAATTCCATGTATTTTGTTCTTCATTAGGCTGTTGGTTTGGGAAATAATCTGGATCAATATCGGAATCATCGACCTATATTTTACAAATAAATATATTTTATTTTATTTTATTATATTTTTAAACAGTACAATGATTATAATAATTTCTTACCTCATCCTCACTCTCATCTGTATCAAATTCAAAATCACTGTTGTTCAGCCAATTTACTATGCGTTCGTCCATTTTAAAACAAGAATTTAAATGTGTCAATCACGAAACACGTTCCTCGACCGACTGTGTTGTATCGTAATATTACAATAGGTTTACCACTTATTATATCACAGTAATAAAGATTATTATTATTAAAACTGACGAACTAATTGTGCGATTACAAATCGATAACGATAGTGTCACGTAGCACACCACAATTTAATAATAATAAAAAAACAAAAGGAAAAATGAAATATATATATATTAATATGAAAATAATAATAACGATCAAAAACAACAAGATGCCCTCTGATTATTAACGTTAATAATAATCAATAAGAGTTATTACTTCTTGAAAAAGAAAATAATAATAATAATAATAAGAGAAGACAATAAAATTATTGTCTTAACAAATATAAAGAAAAATAAAGGTGTCAAAAGACAAAGTAAAACCACACGCAAAAATATGTAAAACGGCCACGAAGACGGCAGAAAGCAGACAAGCGCCGCCGTCGTTCTCGACGGTCGTCACACCGTCCGCGAACGCTTCGGGGCTCATCGCCGACTCCGAAAACTGGTTCGATTATCTATCGGGCGTCCCGATTGATAATCGAACGAATGGTGACACCAAGGCAAAGGGGTGTAACGGGTGAGATCACGATATTCGTGTGACACGACCGTGTCAACTCTCCCCCCCCCAAGCTGGTAGACACCTTTTGCCAGGAGTCTTGTGGTGCCGTCGGGTGCCCCGGGCACCTACGGTGGCGATGGGGAACTGGCGATTACCGCCCAGTTTCCCGCTTGTTGGGAACTACTCCCGGTACAGGGCCTCAATGTCGGCAAGTATATCATCATCCCCGACCTCCATAGGTTCGTGTGGCACGAGCGTTGGGAGGTGGCTCAGACGAGCATCCTTGCTGGTTATCGGGGCCCTGTCCCGGGCAATCGTGCCCACCGGATTTTCAGGCTGCTGCTGCTGCTACCAGTACCATCCCGTGCCCACAAATCACTGAGATTTTGATGAGATGACTTCATCACTCCTGTCATGTATAAAAGTCCAAATACAGCTTTTATTTCTTCAATATTTGTATCTAAAGCAGCTCTTGGTCTATTATAATTTGGTCGAATTCGTGAAATATTTATATTCGTACACTTTACTATTTCCATAATGACAGTATCTGGAAAAAATAAGCTCCAGGACTCATAAGGAGTTTTTACTTGTTTCGCGTAACCAATTGGTCCAGGGCGTATATTCAGTATGTTATGGGCACGAGTACGTACATTACGAGGCGGTGGATGCATATACCAAATAGATTTATCTTTTCTAACATAAGTCGGTAGATCGATATTTTCTACAGTAATTTCATGTCTACTTACATTTGTAATAGATTCATCGGCACTGTCGTTAGACTGAGTAGTATCAGTGTCGTGTTCACTTTCAAGTACATAGTCAATATCGGATACGTCTGAGTCGTTTTCGTTATAATCGTCTATTTCGTCTAAAAACATACGAATACGATCGTCGTCCCATGAACTCATTGCATACAATAATAAAATGAATAAAATAAAATATGAAGTACCTGTATAAAATTATTTATTTATTCACTTCTGATCTACATTCAAACACTTAGCGGCTAAAATTGTACACGGTACTGAACAGTCAAATGTCAATATAATCTGGGAAAGCGTAAATGTGTGGTGGCTGATAATACCTATTACTCACTATAATACAGATAGTATAATATATCTAGAGGTTTAACCACATTGCTTATAAATAGACAAGTTATAACTGTGTAAAAAATATGTTGACGTCAAAATTAAATATACTATAAATAAATAAAAATAATTATATAATCAAGAAAACAATGTTGAAATCATATGAACGAAAATAATGGCATCGGATTTTGACCGTAATTTTATCAATAAACGGTATAAGTTCATGTTAACAATATAAACTTACATTAAACCACAAAACAACTACTCTATATGGGTCGAAGAAAAGGTACTGAGTAGAAAAAAGACGAATATGGTTCCAATTATAAATTATTTAAGAAATTAAAAAACTGTCGGTCAAAAAGACCGAAGCCACTGATGCCGGGTTAAAAGAAAGAATAGGAACTAAGAGTCAATTAGATATTGAACATAAAAAATTAACTTTTGAAAGAAAACCTAGAGAAATAATGACAGACTTAAAAGAAGTAATTACTAAAACAAATTTCTCGTTAGAAGAAGCAATAAAAATTATACCAAAATGTAATACAGAGGAGCAGGGGCGTATTTAGAAATGTCTTATGGGGGGGGGGCACAAACAAAAAGTTCAAATTAGCGTACATGGATGTAGAGTTATAAAATATCTCATATTTTTCATCACTCATAACAAAATAATATAAATACACGTGTTTGATATAAACATAAAATTTTATTAAAAAAATGTATAATTAAAAATTAAAAAGCAATATTATTTAAAGTAATTTGTGTAGTTAAAATAACTGAAGGAGTCTAGGGTGTTTGTTAGCATATATATCAACTACTTCTTCTGGGTTTAGAATTATTTCTGGATGTATATTAAGCAATGCTAATCCATTCAATCGATTTTCTCCCATAGTTGATCTTAAGTAGGTTTTGATTCTCTTAAGGGAAGAAAATGACCTTTCGGATGTGCATGTCGTCACAGGAATAGTTGCAAATATTAATAAAAGTCTTTTGATGTTTGGATAAAAATATTGTTTCCAATGCAGTAGATGGAAGCTCATCTTCTGGTTTTTCTTTCCATATTATATGCCAGGTTTTCAATTCTCCTTCTAATTCATCGAAAGTACCTGGTAAATCAGTTGTAAACAATAATGCTGCATCTAACATTTTTGAAACTTCAATAGTGTTACAATACTTAGGTATGAAGCCTTTTAAGTTTAAAATATTAGTATTTTTTGTTTCAAATCTGTATTTAATTTCACTTAACAATGAATCTAAGTATGGATAATAAACAGAAATTCTATAATAACTCTCGGGTGTGTTTGATTCTGAAGAAATATTTAAGTGGTTACGTTGTTTATTTGCTATTCTTGATATATTAACTTCAATGTTAAATTTATTAGCCATATCTTCAGATTTTTTAAAAATATCTTTAAAGTCATTTTCATTATGTTGATTTGTCAAAACAGTTAAAGCAGATAGTATTAAAGATTGTGCCTCAGATATATCAAAATTTGGAGACTGGAGTTTTCTTGATAATGGTAGTGTACAACTCATGGTATTTATTATAATTTGTAATGTCAATAAAAAATCAAATCTTAATATTGAGTTATATAATCCATTAACTTTTGTCAAAATTTGTCCGTCAAAATTTTCAATCATATATTCCAAAAATGATACAATAGCAGGAAGCATTTGGTTAAAACGTATAAAAGCTTCATGATGTTCAACCCATCTAGTTGTACATAGCTTAAATAATATATCTGAATTAACATTTGGACAGTGTTTTATATTTTCATTTTTAAAAATTTCAATTCTTTTTGGAGAATCCATTATAAAGTTAGTAACTTCTTCGACAATTCCAATTGTATTTCGTATTGGTTGTACTGAACAAGCCTTAACTAAAACTAAATTTAAGCAGTGGCATAGCAGTGTACATATGTAGCTGAGGTTGGTGTTTTAAAATATAAGCTTGAGTGCCTTTAAATTTGCTAGACATGTTGGCAGCCCTATCATAGCCCTATCCTCTTAAATTCATCAGACTTAATCCTATCTGTTCTATTAATTCAGTAATAGTTTTTCCTAATGCTTCTCCATTTAAATCAATTACTTCAAGAAATTTAACAAAATCCTCGCGAATTGTTTTCGAGTCAGAATCTACATATCTAATACTGATCGACAACTGTTCTACATGGCTAGTATCAGTAGTTTTGTCAGCTAAAATTGAAAAATATGTTGCTTTTTTTACTTTTTCTACTATTTTTTTAATGACAATATCTCCACAACATTGTATAATATCGTTTTGAGTTACAGCACTAATAAATGTAGCATTTTTATTAGAATTTTGCAAATGCTCATTTAAATCTGAATCACCAGATTCAATGCGAAAACGTAATAAAGCCCGAAAATTACTATCGTTTTCAATAAAATCTGAATTTTGATAAAAAATATTTCCTGTTTCATGTCTATGTCCACGTAGTGATATATTTTGTTTTCCGCAAAAGAAAATAGTTTTTACGATTGGTAAGATTTTTTTCCTGTTTATCGCTATTTGTTTTTTTAAATTCGAATCTAACTGAACATCTACACTTACATATTTTCCTTCATAACTTGCACAGAAATGTTCTGATTTTACTATGGATAATGCATGGTAATTTAAGGTTGAATGTTTTTTAAAATCAGCAATAGCATTTTTATATTTTGATAAAGGTTGTAGTGTAAGAACCCCGAGTTTTTGATCACCTATTCCGCCAAAATCTCTACCAAACAAAACACATATACGACAATATGCCCCACAGTCTTTGGCACTATAGCTGAGCCATGGAAATTTGTTCAACTAATCTCTTTGGAATTTTCTATTTTTATTTCCCTGGGCAACTACTGGAAAGTTAAAGTTTTCTGATGGAATCCAAGGTTTTTTTATTAAATTATATCTATTTTCATTAGATAGTGTAGAATTGTTTATAAAATATCCAATATCTAGAGGATCAAAATTGCTATTATTGACTGAATGTTGATCTTGTGAATCTAATTTAATATACAAATAATTTTAATTTAATTAAATGTTTAAACTTAAATATACTTCCATAAATACCAACATTCAACACAGTAGTTAGTAACTATAGTCAAGCAGACAGTAAGACAGCAGTAAGCAGTAAGCATTATACAAACAATAAATACAATTTTAATTTCTAATAATAAAAAATTAAAAAAATTTACTTACTTAATGGATGATTGATTTTCAGTTTTCAAATTAAGATGTTTTTAAGTATAAAAAATAAAGACATAAGTTCTATAAAATATGGTATTTATTTATGAAAATATACTGTAGGTACCATACTAGAAATATTTTACAAAAATAATAATCTCAGAATATTTAAAAAAAAAAAAAAAAATAATAATATACATATCTAGGATCTAGGATACATCCTAATCATGAGACTTATAAAAACATATGGTAAAAAAATTACAAAAGCAATTACAAATATTGATCTCACTAAATAAAATGGACATTTAAAAATTCACATACATAACATAACACAAAATAAACCAAATAAATAAATAAAATACATACATTCTTCAACATTTGATTTTTGGATATCACCAGTTTCTGTTTGAAGAACATTTGTATTTATAATACTTGGATCAATTGGTTCTAAAAAAAATAAATAATAATTAATATTTTATTAATATAAGTATCATCATGTGAATAAATTATTATGCTATGTAGTCTGTAATTACTTACTAGTATTAGACTTAAATTTTTTTGAAAAAAATTCTGTTATTTTTTGTTTTCCCCTTTTATTCGAGGGCATCGGCGTAGAACTCATTGAAAGAAATTATTAAAAGTATAACAAATAAAGTAAAAAATACACAAAATTACACAAAATAATTTAAAAAATTTTTGTATTACAAGTGGCAGTTATTGCATGTTTATTATATCTTGGTTGCTATCACTATTCATTATCTTATTACGATAATACAACAATGAACAACGTTTCGTAACGTTCCGTACATGAAACGAAAACACTATAAACTGATAACGCTACAACACTGTTTTATCGATTATAAGTTATAACAAAAATATTATAAATTAGTGATAATGTCATCATGATATAACAGTATAACACCATACGCCCACTACGCCCATATGTGAAAATTAAGAAAGCGTAAAGAGACATATACTCTCAATAGTCAATAATAAAAAAAAGTATATAATACGGTGAATGGGAGGGGCACGGGCCCCATGGGCCCCCCCCCTTAAATACGCCCCTGCAGAGGAGGATATTTATAATTTCATAACTGCATGTGATTTAGCGGTAAGCGCGGTAGGTGAAAAACATGTACCATTTTTAATAAAATATATTACTACTAGAATAAAAGGGAAAGTATGGGAATTAATAAAATATAGAGATGTAAGCAAGTGGGCATACGTAGAAAAATATTTAATAGATTCTTTCGAAGCTCAACACACAGCATCATCGCTGCAAGTAGAGCTAAATTCGGCTAAAATGAAATATAATGAAAGTATTAATGACCATAACAAAAGAGTAGAAAATTTATATAATAAATTATGCAATGTATAATAGTATAATACAGTTCGTGTTTGACTCCCGTCCTAGCAACACGCGTGTTCCACTATCGCGCCCGTATTTTTATCTTCCGATAGACAACACAGCACGGGACATAACCGGTAATATGTTTACCTAATTTATCTAACAAACTGTTTATCGAAAATTAATATAATAAAACACACCCACACGCTCAACGGCGAGTTCTCATTATGAGTAATAGCCTATCTAACCCACCATATACCATTGAACATAAAAACCCCACCAAGTCAATTC